CTGAACAGATCTTAAGGAGACTAACAAATATTCCAATGCTCTTAATTTCATTTCCACGCTTCCACAATATCATGTAATGCTGACGTACTTGATTAATTTGATCATAACCCATTGTAATTATACACTATATAAACTCATCAGAGTTTCCAGACTTATCCAAATCACTTACTAAATCCTCAATCATTAAAGTTACCTATTTCATTTAGCAGTCATGTCTATTCTAGTTACTTTAGGGTTTTCTAGGGTAATCCAGACGTTTATGAATTTCGGATACATACTGTACTTTCTTTCAATTCAATTTGGTCTTCGTGGTTGATTTGTCTAACAAATATCAAATTCTTACTACTGAATATGAGCTAGAGTTGAGCTGAGCTGAATACTTCCAAAATTATCATTGAGTTAAACTTGAGTAGACGAACACGCATTCAAGTAATATCTATGTCGTTCAGGTACTGACATATCATTAAGGTTGATCAGCTCACTTAAGCTGTGTTCCATAACTTTTAAAAGTAGTCCAACACCTATGCTTATTTGGAATCCTTAATTAATCCCAGACATTTACTTAATATAGGCCATAAGGGTATTTTGGTAATTTTGGTGTTCAGTTTTATTCCATTCATTTTAGAGCTCGAGGATATCCAATCATTCCTGAGCTTGGTGATATTCTTGGGTCATTTTCATTACAGGGGAATTTTGGTCATTTTACAGATCTACGGTATTTGAATCTTTTCCTTCCATCCGGTCTTATTATTTAATTCAATCTTATCATTTACTTCAGTCCTTTCGAACAATTCTGACAGTAGAATACCCCCGATAAATTATTCTTTAGATATTTACTCATTACTCGAATATTTTCGGGTCAAGTGCCTTCTCAGATTTTAAAAACGGAATATCATGAATTTTTCTGTACAAAGACAGGATCTTAACAATTAAATTCATACTTAATCGAGTTAAGTACAAATTCTCAAAGTATTTTCTCATTCAGGGTCAACTCAGACTATTTTACCTCTCAAGGGCATTTCTGTAATTTCTTAACCAGATAATTTCAATATTAGCTCTTAACGAAAATACTTATAATTTAGAGATCCTATGATCAATTGCTTTCCCGAACATTCTCTTATCTTGAAATGATTCCTTAATAGAATTCTAATATCTTGCACAAACCCTCTAGGGTTTAAAAACCGGTTATCCGTATTTCGTAAGCAAAACCTAGCATTTCTTAAACACGTATGTAGTTTTATCATATCAATATATCCTTTCAGAGTTATTAATCAACTTCCAGGGACAATTCTTGACATCTTACAACTTAAGGATATTTTCGTAATTTTACCTTACCAGAGTATTATCATAATTTCCCATCCAAATACCTTTAACATTTAACCTTTGATGAAATAAACTATAAGTTACAAATCCATGTTGATTTCTTTATCACTAAGCACAGAACTTGTAATTTAATTCTAACAATCCCTCATTTTCTTATAAAAATCATCTGAACCATAATCAATTACTGAACCCTTTTATCATATTCAGATCGAAAGTAGAAACTAATTAACTACACAAATGAGACCAACATTATCTTAATCATGCATTTACCAATATTCACATGTTCCATAAAACATAAAGAGGTAGTAAAGTATTTCCTTGATTTCCGTGCAATACTGATCGACCATAAAAATTCCATTCGAACGCCTTTTATCTTCAATTCAACTTCCAATAATTCCTCAGATACATATCAACATAAATTATATCAGAAACGGAGCTTAATTGCGAAAAAGGATCGAATCGGGTGATAAATTAGTGAAAACAACTTACCGGGTTCGAATTTGGCGAAACGGACTTCGGATTCGAATTCAGGACGTTAAAAGCATAAAATATGACTTTTCGAAAATTTGAAATTTTCGGTCAAAATCAAAGTCAACGGGTTTGACTAGAAATTTCGAGGTCTTCGAGTTCGAAATTCGAAAAACGGACAGCGGAATCGGATTTGGAACGTCGAAAAATGTCAGGATAGGTATACTTGATCAAAGTCAAAGGTCGTTTAATGCCCGGTCAAAGCCTATCAAAGTTTTGGTCAACAGTGGTCAACGTCGGTCAACGCCGGTCAACGGTCAACGGGTTGTGTCAGGTCAACGGGTCGGGTTGTGACCGGTCAAACCGGTCACTTATTCCTTCCCCACGCGCAGTGGCGACGCGTGGGGGCGCGTGAATAGTGATAAATTCCCGGAAAAAATCCTAAAAATTATTTTGAGTGATTTTGAGATACTTACAAAGCTCGGTTCACAGTTTTGAACAGCGGAGAGCTCGATTTCAATAAATCGGAAACTTTGACCGCTTCACCTCCTAACACGCCGCCGTCGACGGAGACCAAGGATGACACCGGAAGACTCAGAACGATGCAAGGAACACGATGGTGCGGGAGGTGTCGTAAACGGATGCTCGGATCGCCGTGAATCGATGAAAAACCAACTGAAATCGGGTTATTACCGATAATACTTCTGACTGAAATTAACAACGAACGGCGATGATTCATGACGAAAGGTTTGAGGGGTTTTGTTCCTCGGTTGACAACGAACACGATGGTGGTTTCGGCTCGTCGATCGGAGGTCGGACGACGAGTAGATCGGAGTTGAAATGAGGGTTGTTAGAGAAGGGAAAACTGGAAAAATGAGAACCTGCACACTCATAATAAAAATGGGTAAACCATGAATTTAGCAACTGAATTTCTTGCACTTTATAAAACGGTCTTCCAACTTTAAAACTTTACAATATAATCCACTGTTTCTTTCAAAATACCAATTAAATTCACCATTTTATAATTTCTTAAAATTTAGCCCCTAAATTGGGGTGTTCCACTCCACACTAGAGGGCAAGGTGGAAAAAATCAGCTCATATGAGTGAAGACATCAATCCAAAGGAGATACCAAATGTCAAGTGCGAAGATCCAATCATAACAAAAAAAAAGAAAAAAAACAAATGAAAAAACAAAGAGAAAATAAAAAAGAGAAACAAGAACCAAGGAAAAAGTGAAGAAAAAAATAAGACAAGACACATATGCAAAGATTCTCTCTATTCAAATGACGCATCGATATTCAAATTAGGAGATTGATCAAGCATAATCATTCCAAAATCACTTCACTCGAAGATCATGGAACATCCAGAGAAAATCAAAAGGCCGATGACCGGAGGGGATTTTTTTTCGAAACTTACTTTTTAGATCTACGGAACCCCGATGCTATTTTGTGAAAATCGTTCGGACGTATAGAAAGAGGAGGGGAAGAGCTTTAAAAAATTCAATTTTTTTATATTTTATTTTTTTCCTTACTATTATTATTATATATACTTCATTATTATTATTATATTTTATATATTATATTTTTTTTATTTTTTTTATTTATTATTTTTTTTAAAATATTTTATTTATATGTATATTCATTATATATTTTTATCTTATTTTATTTCATTTATCTACCACTATTATATTTTTTCTCTCTCTATTATTTATCTATACATATTACTATTATATATATATATATACATTTTTTCCATTTATTATTTTATTTGTTGCAAATATTATATTAATTATTATATATATATACATATATATACATGTATTTTATTTATTATTCTTATACTCTTCTATTTTTATTTTCTTTTATTACTCTTTACTTATTTATTTTTTCCTCCATTTCATTTTTTTATTCATTATTTTTTTTATTTTTTATCTTCTTTACATTTGTTTTATTTATTTGTATTTTCTTCTTCTTATTTTATTTATTTATTATGTATATATTATTATCATTATTTTTTTCATTTTATTTTTCTTATCGTATTCATTTTTATCTTCACTCTTTTTTTTATTCCTTTATTTCGGTCTTTTTTTATTTTCTTTATTCTATTTATTTTCATTTTTTATCTAACACGTTTCTTGACTCTCTTAAGGGTACACCTTTAAAACTATCTAAGGTAAGTAATTGAGATCATATTTTTACCTTTTAATTTTAAATTATAATTTTTTTAATTTAAGACAACTGGAAATTGCGTAATACCGAAAGGGTAGTTCAAGTGTGCTAACCCTTCCTTGACTGTAACTGACTCCCGAATCCGACACATCTTTGGAAAGACGCAGATCAGGTAAGAAATAGGGTATCTTATCAACCCATTTGTTTTAAAATAAATTATCGGTGGCGACTCCAATTCGTTTAATCCAAATCGAAGCCCAATTTTGGGGCCCAACCGAAAGACGATTCCGACAGTTATAAAACAATAACGTTAGTGATCAATTTATTACTTTTGAAATTTTAGTAGGGAAAACGAAAACTTATTCAAATATTAGAGACCATTTATGTAGTTAACCCTTAAACAAATGATGTAACATATAATATATTCATAACCCAACAGGTTGATACTGTACAGGCTGTTATACCTTTAGATTTTCTATGGAAGTCTCATCTTTATTTCCATTTCTTCGTCTATAAACCTAAAGAATTGTGATCTCTTGATATGAACTCTCATACACTCATGTGATCATCATCAATCAAATTTATTCAACCTATCAACCCATAAATATTCATTATTCTAAGCACGACACTAACACTAAAATTCTATACAGAAATAACTATGCAGTGTTAGAGGGGAAAAAAACTCTCTATTTCTCTACTGTTCATCGTCTTCAACTCACTGAACAATTATCTATGATTTTTTTATCCAAACTGAAAAAGATAATATGAAAAAAATAACGACAACCTTCTTACTAACGTCAAAATCAAAATCTGAAGGTTCATTTCATACCCAGTTGGATAGATGTCATTGTAATCTCACACCAATTTTTTCCTTCAAAAGTTTATGCAGCCGCCTTTCTTATCCAGAACATGATTGCCAAGTTTCGTCTCGTTATCGCAAGTGAAAAGGAAAGAATGAGCAGATTCAATGCCCTTAAGAAGGTATAACCCCACCCCCACCACCCAAAACTCGGTAAATGACAGATGTAGATTAGTGGCATGTACTGTCAGCAACGTGATATTTGCAGACATCTATAATTTAAGAAGTGTCTCCGTACAAAGGCACAGTATATGGCCCACACCACCTGCTGTTTCACAATGAAGCTTCCAATCTGTAGCCTGTAGGCTAAACTGTTGATGACTAGTTATGCTATTGACTACATTTTCGATGAACCAGTAGTATACAACTGCGTCCATGTTACAAATTAGGTCACCACTTTACATATACAACCAAAAAAATAAATAAATAAATAAACGATATACTGTTACAATATTAAAAAAGAAATAAAAATATTATCCTACCAACTTCATCTTTTCCAAGCAACAAAGTCCCCATTTTGTCGCCATATATTCTTCCCCCTTCCGACTAGCCTTGTGTTAAAATATGCAATCGCTTGATTCTACCAGAATGGAAGAAGGGTTCATGCAACAATTTTTACTTAATTCCAGTAGCATTTCGGATGGAGTGGAAAACGATATTTTTATCCTACTGCTATTTACAATAACCCTGAAAGAGGTCTTGTTCTTGGCGGGGTGCCTGGTGTTTGAAATTTTAGTTGTGAATTTTCAAACCAAGGATCCTGAGTGTACCTCGGGTTCGGTCTCACTGCATTCCCACTCTGTCCTAAATACTGATAAGTTGGATGAGGAGGAGAAAGATAACTCGTGTGTGATTGACCATGTCTTAAGGGACTTGAAGGAGGAGATACAGGCAAAGATGTGATTGTTCTTGCATTATCTCTGTGCATAAATACATGGTTGGCAACTTACATTAGAACATCATGCATGTATTTTAAGCAAAGAAAAATGAAGGAAAATATGTTAAGGTTGTTAGTACCTTGGACTCCTCGATGCTCTCGAAGTTGGAGTCATTCCTCCCATTCCATAATCTCCGTCGAATGATAGGATATTATTTCTCTTCGACTGCATTTCTAATATAGGCTGCTCAAAGAGTTAAGATAACAACAGAAATTTAGCTTAAATCCAGCTTTAGTTATAAGAAAACTTCAAGTACAAGATAATGGTTTAGAAATGTCAAAAACAAATCCTGCTCAAGTGTCGAGCATCGCTTTGAAAAGTGCAGCTATTTGTTGAATTGAAATGTCAAAAAGAAAATTGCATAAAACAATAAAAGTTCAAAAATTGCACAACATAATAATTCCATCTAGGTTTCTATTTGAGCAGTATCTAAGTCCAAAAACGACATGCTTTTTATATTAAAACCCAAGAAGCTGAAGTTGTTCTTTTAAGTATTTTCTAAATCAGTTCAGAATGCACTAGTGAAGTCTACGTTAAATGTATGCAAGTCAAAGTCTATTCAATAGGAGTAATAAAAATTATCTTAAGAATATATACCGGAGTGCGGCTTCCATCAAAAGTGTAAGGAAATGCATCCTTGGTTATGCTTATGTTAGCAACTCTTGTTGCTTGGTCAAGAATGAAGGGGTGATCTAGCAGTTGTAAGGCAGTAAATGTATGCAAGTCAAAGTCTATGCAATAGGAGTAATAAAAATCATCTTAAGAATATATACCGGAGTGCGGCTTCCATCAAAAGTGTAAGGAAATGCATCCTTGGTTATGCTTATGTTAGCAACTCTTGTTGTTGCTTGGTCACGAATGAAGGGGTGATCTAGCAGTTGTAAGGCAGTAGGCCGTGCTGATGGGTCTCGTTGCAAGCAAAGCCTAATGAAACTTTTTGCTTCATTAGAAAGGTGAACAGGAATCTCAGGCATATCTTTGCTGTTTCCGATCTTAAATATTGCAGCCACCTGTTGAATCCAGAAATATCAAAAGGATTACTCCTCAGCTCAGAGCGAGCCAGAAAAATATATTACTATCTGAGAGATGTTGGGAATTAGTGTGTCGCACCCCTTCATACCGACTCCATGGTGGTTTTGATGTTGCCATTTCAAGAATAGCACAGCCCAAGCTCCAGATATCCACTGCAAGGTTGTAGCCATTTGTGTTCATTACAACCTGAGATAAAAAAGTATACACAACTGGTCATACCATGGAGAACCGGAGTGTGGAAAAAATAATTAGCACTATGAAAGCAGTTAACAAGTTTATGACAAGAGAGACAGGGAGTGATTCAGTGATCATATAGTTGAGATAGAGGAAAAGCGATACCTCAGGTGCCATCCAATAAGGACTTCCCTTGAACGAAAGCATTGTACCACAAGCTGTTATCTGTATCAGAAAGAATGAAAATTAGTGGTCTGTCCTGATCACTAACTGGGGAAAAGAAAGATGCTAGAAAGGTGGGAGAAAAGATGGTTTTCGGTCTTAATTTTCAGCCTATAGACAGGGAGAAAAAGGAGGCAGGTTTCTAGTTTTAATTCACTAGCCGTCATTTTCAGTTTTGATTTGAAGGTATCTAATTTGTTAAATTTACAACAACAATCTTATATTTTTCAGCCTGAAAACTACATTCAGTTTTGAAAAAGGAAGAAAATAAAAAATAAGAAAATATCAGCTTTCAAGTTAAGTTGGGGTTTAAGGGATCATCTAAAGGAAAAAAATTCTACAGAAAACACAATTTTCTTTACAACAAAATCAGCATCCTATCAGAGTTGTTTAGTAGATAGTTAACATCATAGCCACAACTGTTTTCTGAGAGATATTGAAGCTTAAGGAATACAACTACAACCATCATCACCAATATGAGATTAGGTAACATACATGTTTTGCCATTCCAAAGTCTGCCAACTTGATTTCACCATTAGGATCCACTAGTATGTTTGCCCCTTTTATGTCTCTGCGATACAAAACTCACAGCTTTAACACATAAGATACAGCTGAAACCTCTGTAAAACATACAACTAAGATCCATAAATAGAATTACATTCAAGTACCTGTGAACCGTATTTCTTCTATGTAAGTAAGCAAGCCCAGAAAGAATTTGTCTTGTATAGTTTTGAATAACAGGTTCCTTGAAGGAACCATATTCTTGAAGCAACTTGTGGATTGAACCACCAGAGACATATTCCAAGTAAACAGAGAGTGTTTCTTCACCCTGCAAAATGGCAGTTAGATTTACCATGAAGTAAGGTCGTTTTAATTGGTACAGGAGAAGGATTCCAATAATCATTTTCCCTTCCCGTCTGTTATGCAAGTAAATCATTTGCATGTTAATACGTCGAAAGCTGTATACAGAACTATACCAGATCACTTCCGTGGTATCGAACAATGTTTGGATGAGATAGCTGACTCAGCAAATTTATCTCCTGTTTACATTAAAAAAGGATTAGAAACCAAACGTGGTAACTTGTAAGTGGTTTCAATATCAACTGGTACAAAGATAATGAAAAGTTAAATCAGACAGATGTTTGTACTTTGAATAATATTGTACTCAGAGAGAACCGGACAAAACTATTACCTGGTTCAGTTGCTTGAGGCATTCTTTTGATGTCTGATCATCAGAAACAAACCTGACTTCTTTTATTGCACACATCTGCCCGCTTTCACTGGCAAACATGGATATACAATAGTTGGAGAAGCTTAATAGGGAAAAAAACTATAAACAAACTTGATCTAAATATTTGGAATCTGAAGTAATAATGCTCAATAAATATCTTTGATATGTTGCATATTAGCAGAATGCATGATAACAGCTATTTATTTTCACTGATAAATTCTCTCTTTTAAGCATTATAACTCTTACAACCTCACAGAAAGCAAGTCCTACCTATTAAATCCAAGATAAACATGTCCAAAAGTTCCCCTCCCTAATAGTCTCCCTTTACGCCATTTGGATAGATTGCAAGGCGAGTTCTGAGTCACTCCACAAGTTCTTGTGCTAGACAAGGCAGAAGGGCTGGTTGGAGAACCTGGTGGAAGAGGCAACTTATGACACATAGATTTACCATCTTCCTTCTTCCCCGTTGGAGAATCGAGACTCACACCGGAGAGTCGATGATGAAGAGGCGATGTTGGGCTGGTTGGCCCTCTTGACCTCAGACCAGGGCTTGTCGACCCCCGGTTGCTTCTAGTGTCACCTTGGCCTCTCGTATCAATATATGACCTGTATTTCAGTGTATTACAGAAATCCTTTTATCTCTTGTCCGCAAAGCTAAATACCATATAACAATTCTGTACTTTTGGCTCGTTATAGACTTATGCTGTATTGCTTATAGGTCTCTAAATCCAACGCTATATCAATCAAGAATTACCTTCCTTTTGCAAACACAGTAGTAAAGAATTTGCAAAAAATATAGTTACAATGCAAAAACGAAGAAAATGGTATGACCTTCCAGGGGGAAATGTAAAATAGTCCTAAATTCAGTGAAATAAAAAGTATCAGATGTTGAGAAAATAAAGTATAAATCATGTATTCTGATTCTAACTGAAAGAAGGGGAAATGAAGACCCAAAACCAACGTAAACAAACTCTGGCAACAAAATAATAATAATAATAATAATAATAATAATAATAATAATAATAATAATAATAAGAGAGAGAATTTCAGTTCCAAAAGCTGAAAAAAATTAGCCGATGGCAGAACCAAATGAATATTCTGATATAATTACGAGGAAAAATAATGCAATCATCAAACTGAGCTGACTCCCAAGAAAAGAGAGAGAACAAAGGTTTTTAAAATAATTAATCAAAAATGCTTTCTACTCAAAAAAATGTAACTGCTCCCATTAATTCAGAATAATAATAATAAACTATTTTTTTCTCAAATAGAGGGAAAAAACCTGTAAGCAAGGAATTGAACCGGATCATTTGCAATCTGATTATCTTCGGAAGAACCAGAAGAGCTAAAACTACAAACTGAAGACGACCCAGATCCCAAACCAACAACAAGATCACTCAACACAGATGGTCTAGGCAAAGGAATCCCTCTCTTCTCCCCTGAATCCGAATCGAAACCCGAAAACCCAGAAGATCCGCAGCCGGAAACACCGCCACCAAAATCCCTGCTCGCGCGTGGCGAATTACGGGTGGAAAAAACAAAACCTCCTCCATCATCGAGCCCCTTCGGATAGTTGCTGTTGCTCTTGTTCTTCCTATCATCCAGCGTCGCCGCTGCTTCTTTTATTCTCCCACCACCGGCGGCTACAGCAACGCCGGCTTTATTGGGTGAAGACTTGATTAATCCATCGGAGCCGTCACTGGGAGTTAGATTCCGTGAACTGTCTTCCTTGCTCTTACTCGACCTTTTACCCCACCAACCAGGCATGGTTCTTGTTTGAAGAAGAAGAAGAAGAAGAAGAAGAAGAAGAAAAGTTGTGATTTGTGAAAGAAATGGGGGGTTTTATATGGAGATGAGGAAACTAAGAGGAAATAGAGAGAAGAGAGAGGAGAAAGAGAAGGCAAAGTTTTTTTATTATTATTTAAAATTAATTAATTAAAATTGTGGGGAGTGGGGCACAGCTACAGTGAGAAACAGGCAAGGGATGGATTTGGGACGGCCGGAGGTGGTTGGATAAAATGGGTGGGGATGACGTGGCTTCTTTTTAGTATTTCATTTTCATTTTAATTAATAAATAAAATAGTGAAAAAGGCATCAGTGTAGTTAGGGATGGCAATGGGTCGGGTCGGGTCGGGTTTTTGGGCCACCCGACCCGACCCGAGAAGAAATGGTTTTTCACCCGTGACCCGACCCGACTCGAACCGAATATATGACTTAGAAACCCGACCCGACCCGACCCGAAATAATAATAATAAAAATTTTATTCAATGAAAACAGTGACTTAATTGAAAAAAATTATATATGGAGGGACATTATTGTAATTATCCCTAAATATATAGGATAAAATTATATATATTTTTCGGGTCGGGTCGGGTCGGATTTTTTTCACCCTAAACCCGACCCGACCTGACCCGAACAGTACATTTAAAAAAACCCGACCCGACCCGAACCCGAAATTTTTTTAAAAAAATCCGACCCGATCGGGTCGGGTCGGGTCGAAACCCGTCGGATTCGGGTTGAGTTGCCATCCCTAAGTGTAGCTCTTGTGTGTGTATGAATAGGATTGGTTTTTAGCTAGATTTTTTCTTCTTTTTTTCACTCTTCTTAATGGAACCATTAATTGGTATTAATGATGATTTAACTATCAATTTATTAACATAACATACTTATTATTTTTTTACTATTTAATTATTTCTTTATAATAAATAGTTTGACATTAATTATATCATTTTAATTATTTTAATTTTATTCTTTTATTTGTCAAACTAAGCCAATTGTAATATAACAATAATGACATATTTAAATTTAGGCTTAAGTGTTACTTTTGTCTCTATAGTAGATCAAATTTATCATTTTCGTCCTTATCGTATTTTTGCATAATTTAGTCCTCAAAGTTGTTTAATTGCATCATTCTATACCATTTTCCTAACTTACAACTCTAAATTATAACCCCTAAGTTAGTGTTTAGAGGTAATATGGTTATGGTTTAGAGTTTAGACTTTATAATTTAGTGTTTTAAGTTAGGGGTAGGGTTATAGAATGATGTAAATGAGTAATTTCAGGGGTTAAATCGATGTAAAAATACGATAGGGGTGAAAGTGATAAATTAAATCTACTACGAGGATAAATTAAATCTACTACGAGGGCAAAAGTTATATTTTTACCTTAAATTTACCATAATTATCTTATCCTTATCTATCATGAAATCAATTTAAAAAAATTGAATGTTGATATTAATTTTATAATATTTTAATATTTTAGACTACTTGATAAAAATAATAAAACAATTGATACCAACATTTCAATAAAAATAAAATAACACTATTTTCGCCTTATTGGGGCTAAAATTTAACAAAAACAAGTTCAAGGATAAAAAGAATATAAAAAAAATTAAGGACTAGAATGATTAAATTGATAAAGCTAAAGGACCAAATAACTATTTTACCCAATAAAGACCAGCTTTACAAATGTCGGTACACATTTTCCTTACTTTTTACTTATAATTTCAAACAAATAAAATAACGATGAGAAAAATATTTTAAGAAATGATAGCAAACATATTTTTCTATAGATGAAGACGCTGACTGAATTTTAAGAAAAGTTATAAATTATTAGCATGCATGATTCAACTCATCTGTTTATTTTTTTAAAAAAGAAAACAATCAGCATATTTGTAATTTTTAAATTTTTTATTATTTTAGATTCATTTTACTTTAGGTTACTGTTAATGGAAGCCAAACCGAATTAGTGTTTTTTTTAAATGTGGCTTCGTTGCAGTTCAATTTTTATTTAAAAAAAGGAAGAAATTCAAAATAATTCTTTGGGGTTTTTTTCATAATAAAGGAGGTCTCGTTTCTAATAAAGTAATTAATTTTATACTGATGATGATTGATAATCATCAATCTTTTTTGTTCAATGATAATCAAATTAAGTTTAAACAAAGTATATTAATAATTAAAGCAATACTTTTACTTTTTTTTTATTTTAATTAATCTAGAGTAATTATAAAATAATATATATTTAAAAACTTTTATTATTTTATAATCAATAATGCTTTTACAAATATTATTTTATCGTCACGCCAGACCATTCATATTTCCCTATTTTAGAAATATTGTTATTATAAAATTGAATTATTTTCTTTTGATGGAAATGAAATTATCCAAAACAAAAGCACCCAGCTTTCCAACTCCATTGAGCCAAGTGGCAAGAAAAATTACAGTGTTGGAAGTTGAAAAAATTATACTATTTTTTGAATAGGGGTTAAAATATAAATTTATCATTATATTAAATTAAAATTTTATAAAATTTAATATTCATTGATCGAGTAATTAAAGATATTTATAATCTCCTATTTTATATGAACTTGAACTCGTCGATATTTATTTTGAGAATATAAATAACTCTCTGCTTAATAAAAGTACAATTTTAAGAAATGTATAAAAGGATTGGCCTCTAATACGTCCCTGTTTACAACTGATAAGCATCAATTAATCTCATGTATGTAAATATAATTATAGTTTGTACTATTCACTTTTCAAAGGGGTAATATATATATATATATGTGTGTGTGATAAATTGATAATGAATAAAAAACTTAGTGATAAAAATTTTAATATTTCTTAAATGATTTTTTAAATTTTAGAAAATAATACTTATTACTAAAATTCATAAATTTAATCCATAAAATTTGGGACCAGAAAAGGATAATGATTGAATGAGAAGGTTCATGATCATGCGGTAAAAGAAAGAAGAAAAGGACAATCTTCATGGATTATTGTGCTTTTTTTTTCCCCGACTACAAAAAGCAGATGGAAGGGCAAACGGACTACACACGTACTTAAATATTAAAGACAAATGGAAGGTGTTCCAGCTATTGAAAGCGTGTGTGGTTTGGTGCCCTACATTTGTTCTGGGTATCCACTTCCCCTGGGAAAATACCTTCTATTCTGTATGTTTCATCTTTTTAAGTAGTTTAGGACCATCACTTAATTAATAAAATTTAAACTATGAGAGCGTAATCAGTTACAAAATTGGTATGAGAGTTCAATGGTTTTTTATGAGAATTTACTTTACCATTAGACCTAAAAAATAGTTAATTATGTAAGATGATTTTTTTAGATAAAGTGTTAATGATAAATATGTCAAAAATATATGGGTGAAATTCGAATCCGAAACTATTAACGTTGGGAGGAATGGGATTACTAGTTTTTCTTTTTAAATAGTTTGAGGAGATTATAATGTAGTATATGTTCAGAATTTTCTTTAACTTATTAACAATACACACTCCACAAATACATATGCTTAAATTCAAGTACCTCTAAAAAAATAATATTACTTTTTTTTAATCAATTTGGGGCTATTCAAATATGTTAACGAATATAATCTTAACAAAAATCATCAACATACCTTCACCAAGGTCCATGGATAATAATAACTTTAAGTCCTAAACCTGGCTCCAAGTTTAAAAAATTAAGAAGGCTCTTTTTGTTCACACCTAAGTTGACAATATAGTGAATAGGTTGCATTTGAAGCATCCTGTGGGTTAATAGTTTAGGTTCTTAAAAGATTCTTTTGCCTATAGACACATTGTTTGTTAAAACCGTGATCTTGTTTGATTTAAATTGGTTGTGGAACGAGTATGCTCCATCTTTTTAATAGTATGAGGTAATTATAAGATAATATTTATTTAGAATCTTTCTTAACTATTGACAATGCACACATGCCCCGCAAACGTAAATGTTAGAACCCGAGTCTTCTAGAAAAAACAACACTCTCTTTTACTATTGATTTCACTCGAGGAGTTCAAATATTCTAATTTATATTATAAGAATTTTGGGCAGGATATATTTTCTTTTTTAGTATTCTCTTAAGTTCGTGACAATTCTTCTTAACCATGATATCTTTAAGATTTGAAACTCTAATCTTAATATGATTTATTAGAATATGTGATGGATATTCTGGAAGATCTGTATTAATATGATTTAATACAAAAGGAAGTGCAAAGTATTTGCCTGCCGATCAAACTTTGTAATTTGTGTATATTTTGTTGTTTATGAAAAATCAAATACGTACTTCCTCCAGTAATATTAGGGTTCCAATGTTGGGATAAAATAATAATTAAGAGGTTAAAAAATCTGATTAATAGATACGTTTGAAAATAATGGCTACCTAGTCTATCGGATAGTCTACAGGCTTCATATTGCACAAGTTGGACAGTGTGCAGTGTCCGTTTTACATTAAGAAATTGGAACTTGTACGGATTGTTTTGACAAATTATTGTATCAAACAAGTGACCTAGCCTCAAATGCAGTGGGTGGGCATGCCACCAGTTTCAATCCAGGTCAACCACTTAAATACACATTATTCTCCCAGATCCACCAAAAATATACAAATAAAATGGATTTAATTTTGAGGAGAATAATACCCTTTTACCATTGATATTATTCAATGAGTACATATATCACAGTATACTTAAAATAAAATTATTGATGTTTAATGAATTTTTATGATAAGTATATATAAACTAAAACAAGGCATACATTCAATAAATAAATTATTAAATAAATTAAATCGTTATATGAATTATACAAAATATGATATAACATGAAAAATAATATAAGTATTTATTATATAAATATAAATAAATTATCAAAACATATAAATATAAAAGCAGTAACTTGCAACTTGGCAAGTCATAGATAGATCATGTAAAAGAACACGAGGTTATTGTATACAAGATCTTACCATATCATATCAAAGGCTCAATTAGGTATTTTTTTAATTATGAAAATTAATGATATTAATTTACGACTTGATAGACAAAATTAAAATACAATTAAAGGA